ATAATTGGCAACATGGGGTCAGATATGTTTAGCTAGAAGCAAGTACCAGGGATCTGTGGCATGATGTGCAACTTGAAAAGTTTTTGAATGAAAGAGGTTGGCCTGTGGTCTTTTGGAAGCAATTGGAGATTTCAGTAGGGGAGTGCAAGAGCAGACATTTGCTTTAGGAGTGTCTCTTGTGACAATGTGGAGGTTGAACTGGAATCAGAGACACCGAAGGCCAGGGAGACATTAGTATAATGCAGGCATGACTCGGGAAGAGTGGTTAAGAGATGAGTGAGCTGTGAGCATAGGTTGGGTTTCAGCTCTAGTTCCTGGTTATTTCCTTCTCTCTCTGTGTCTTGGCTTGTGTACCTGTGAACAGGACTGTTGTGCAGGTTAGAAGTTGCACTCTTAGAGCAGAGTGTGGCCTGTGGTAAGTACTCAGATATTAGCCGCTATTCATGTAATTCCTCCCCTTTTTGTTGTGGTGAAAATATATCACATAAAATTTATCATTTTAAAAAAAAAGACTTACTTATCTGAGAGGCAGCGTTACAGACAGAGAGGGAGAGACAGTGAGAGAGGTCTTCCATCCGCTGGTTCACTCCCCAGTTGGCTGCAACGCCCAGAGCTGCGCTGATCGGAAGCCAGGAGCCAGGAGCTTCTTCCAGGTCTCCCACGTGGATGCAGGGGCCCAAGGACTTGGGCCATCTTCTGCTTTCCCAGGCCATTAATTAGCAGGGAGCTGGATCAGAGGTGGAGCAGCCGGGACTCGAACAGGCATCCTGTGTGGTGCTTCAGGTGGTGGTTTAACCTGCTGTGCCACAGCGACACCCCCCAAAATTCGTCATTTTAACTGTTCACAGTATTGTATAACTGTCACCAGTATATTTCCAAAACTCTTTCATCACCCCAAACAAAAACCTTGGAATCGTTAAACAGTAGCTCTCTATTCCTTCTTTCTCTGCTCACAGGTAACCTCTAGTCCACTTTCTGTATCTATGAATTTGCCTATATCAGACAATTCATATAATTGAAACCATATATTTTCCTTTTTTGTTGGGCTTATTTCACTTAGTATAATATTTTTCTTTGTTCAACCATATTTTAGCATGGATTGGAACTTTCTTCTTAAGGTTGAATAATATTCCATTGTGCGGGTATACCACGTCTTGTTTATCCGTTTATCGGTTGATAGACACTTGGGCTGCTTCCAACTTTGGGTTATTGTGAGTAATGCTGCAGTAAACCACATACCTATTTGTGTCCTTGCTTTCAGCTCTTTTGAGTTTGTCCCTAGGAGTGAAATTTCTGGTTTATATGGTAATTCTACATTTAATATTTTGAGAAACTTCTAGACTGGTTTCCGTAGTCATAGTACCAGTTTACACTTCCATGAACAATATATAAGGGTTCCAGTTTCTCCACATCTTTGTCTATACTTGTTGTTTTCTTTTTTTGAAGATTGATTTTATTTGAAAGGCAGAGTTACAGAGAGGCAGAGGCAGAGAGAGAGGTCTTCCATCCACTGGTTCACTCCCCACATGGCTGCAACTGCTAGAGCTGGACTGAACCAAAGCCAGGAGCCAGGAGCTTCTTCTGGGTCTCCCACATGGGTGCAGAGGCCCAAGGACTTGGGCTATCTTCTACTGCTTTCCCAGGCCATAGCAGAGAGCTGGATCAGAAGTAGAGCAGCCAGGACTTGAACTGGCACCCATATGGGATGCCGGCACTGCAGGTGGTGGCTGTACCAGCTACACCAGCACGCCAGCCCCAGCACTTGTTGTTTTCCATCTTTTTACTCTGGACACCTAGTGGATGTGAGGGATATATCATTGTAGTTTTGATTTGCATTTCCTTCATGGTTAGTGATGCTGAGCATCATCTTGACCATTTGTATATTTTCTTTGGAGAAACGTGTATTTACGTCCGTTGCTTGGTGTTCGTTTTCAAGCCTATATAGGAGAAATAGAGAAAAAACAGAGATTGAGGAAGTAGATATAGCGAGACTCGGTGACTCATTTGTAGGGGGGTTGATGCTGAATTTTCCAGTGTGGGTAAGTGGGTGAATGACAGGGTGTCAAACAAGATGGCCCCTCCCCTGGGAGAAGGTACAGGTGGGTGGAAAGGTGTTGCTTTTGGGTGGAACTGCATTCAGCCTGGGAGTTGCCCAGCTAGGGAGCCTGCAGAATTCATTGCCATGTCCATGTGTCTGATTCGTGTCTCTGAAAAAAGAATACAGGACATGTTTTAAGTTGTGTCTCCTCCTTGCTTCCACCTTGGAAACAACTTAAGAAAATGGCTTTTTATTCTACTTCTGTAACTGGCAAATGTAAACAGTTTTTGGATGTGAGGTCTGTGTTGTGGCAGAGAATTAAGCTGCCACTTGTGATGCCACCACTTGCAAAGCCAGTATCCCGTATCAGAACGCTGGTTCGAGTCGTGGCTGCTCTGCTTCTGGTCCAACTTCCTGCTAATGGGCTTGGGAAGGCAGCTGAAGATGACCCAAGTACATGGGCCCTTGCCACCCATGCAGAGGGCCCAAATCGAGTTCCAGGCTACTGGTTTCAGCCTAGTCCATCCCAAACCATTGGGGCCATTTGGGGAGTGAACCAGTAGATAGAAGATTCTATCATTCTTTCAAATAAATAAACAAATCTTAAAATGATAGCAGTCATTGGGGGAACCACGGAATATGGGGTCTATGGAGCAGCCTTTTTCTGGTGCTGGATTCTCAGCCCTTCAGCACCTGCTCCTGATTGGACGCGTCCTTCCCAGCCAGCCGCGGTGCTTTGCTGCTCTGAAGCCTCCGGGGGGTGGGGGAAGGGGAAGACTGCTCTTGAGAAAGGTGCCTTCAGAGGCCTTTGCCAGTGGCCACCCCAGCCTTAGAACGTTTGCCCCACCTCCCTCACCCTGTCCCAGCCTGTGCCATTAGCGGTTAGTGCTAAGCAAATGCTGGCCGTGTCACTCCTAGCCCACTGCATTCTCTGAATCCTTCCGTGGCAGACTTGGAGGTTGTATGTGTGCACAGTCACATGTGCACTGCAACGGAAAATGAGGTTTTGGCAGTGGTTTTTCCCCCAAAGGAGCAGCCGTTGGGGAAATGAGTGTGCTTGGTGGCGTGTTGTCTTTACTTGTAGAACCATAGCAGGCTGACAGCCATCACCAAGAAAGCACCCTGTCGTGTGGCTCAGGCGGGTGGTGTTTGCAGATTGTCCCCTGATGCCGTCTGCCTGTGAAGTTACAGGAACCCCCGGCGCCTGCTGTTGCAGCGGTTGCTGGGGCTGCTGGTCCGGGTGTCCGTGTTCACACACGCACATGGCATTGTGTGGCGTGCGGAGGTACCACTGTTGGCTTGGGGCTGAGCTTTGCCTGGTTAGCCTTCTGAGATGCCAGCTGAAACTCTTCACACAGCAAAGCTCCAGTTTCTGGTTTCCGGTGGGGCCCTGGTGAGGGGGGAGGAGGAGGAGTGGGTGAGGCTGCTGAAGCGAGCAGAGCTAGCAGTTGGGGAACCTGTGCTGGCAAACCAGCCCACCCTTGGTGTCAAGCTGTGGGGGAGTGGCAGTGGAAGCTTCTGCTGTTTCCTTGCGCGCTCTGCCCAAGCCTAATCATGGCTCCCTATCAAACTTGCCACCTTCACGTGTATTCCACAGAGAGCCCGTTCTCATTTCTCACCCTTCATTCTTTCTATAGAACACATCCCTCATTCCCGGGTCCTCCCTGCCGTCCAGCCATGCTTCAGGTCTGGTGCCTAAGCTTTCACTTTTCCCTGAGTGGGTGTTGATCATGGGTTCAGACAAGTGAGAAACCACCTTGCTGCTTTAGAAAGATTTCCTGTGGATAGGTCTGTACTTTGTGAGTTAACTATCACTTTTTGGCTGTAAATGCTTGGGAAAAGCACTATGAAAATTACTAAGGTAATCTGAAGACATTATACCAGCCATCAGGCTTTAAAAAGCCAAATCTTAAACTTTGGTAAGAGTCCACCTAGAGCAGAGCTCAGCGAACTTTCTCTGAAGGGCCAGATATTTTAGGCTTTGGTCTCCATCGCAGCGGCTCAGCCCTGCCCCTGTAATATCAGAGCAGCTGCCTAAAATACCTTAACACACAGTCACGGGGTTCTAATGGAAATTTATTTACGAAAACGAGTGTGGGCTATAGTTTACTGAGCCCTAACCTAGAATGAGAGTCTTTTAGCCTGTCAAAGAGTTCAAAAACCAGAGGAACTTGATGACTAACTGAATTTAAATCCTCTTCTTTTGCATTTAGTGTAATGGTGAGTTTGGGGATTGAGGAATATACTTTCCTAGATCCCTGTTGAAGAATAGAAATCAGAAGGCTTTTTTAAGAGGCGAATCTGCTTGACCAAAGCTTATCATTGTTAGGAAAGTAGGACGGGGGCTGGCGCTGTGGTGTAGATGCAGCTGCTACCTGCAGTGCCAGCCTCCCATACGGGCTGCTCCACTTTCGATGCAGCTCCCTGCTAATGTACCTGGGAAAGCGGCAGAAGATGGCCCAAGTCCCTGGGCCCCTGCCACCCATGTGGGAGGCCCGGAAGAAGCTCCTGGCTTTGGCCTGGACCACCCTCAACCGTTGCAGCCATTTGGGGAGTGAACCGGTAGATGGAAGACCTCTCTCTCCTTCTCTATCTGTGGCTTTCAAATATATAAATAAATAAATTAAAAATAAAGAAAAAAATAGTGTGACAGGCTGTGCCTTAGAGCTGCATGGTGGCTTTTCTGTGTCACTAATTGACTTTATGGTCACGTGTGATGGCCATAAGTCAGATAAGGTGGTCTCACCATCCTGAACATCATTCTTTTAACTAGTATCAAGTGCTTCTTTAATAAATGTAAGGAAAAAATCCTACAGAAATATAGGAAATGGTGCTTTTAAGACCTCCTGTTCTAATAAGTTAACATTATGGTTCATTTCTAGAAAACTGAAACTTAAGACAGTCAAGGAAGCATCCTGAAATTTCAAACTACAATCAGTTTTCCTTTTATCTGTCCTCACAGGAAATAAAGAAAGACATGAAGAAAGACCCTCTCTCCAGCAAAGCTCCGGAAAAGCCCATGCAGGAAGTGTCCAGTGGAAACTCTTTGCTGTCTTCTGAAACCATTTTAAGAACTAATAAGAGAGGTACGGAAAACGAGGAAGGGATCCCTTTTTCAGACGCAAACGAAACCTGGAAACTTCTAGGTGCACTCTGTTGAATTTTGCATTGCTGAAAAATTGAATACGGTTTGCACTTTCGGTTTTTGGTATACATTTTGGACACACACAGAGCAAGTGACTGTATGGGTCTAGTAACTATAATAAAACTTTTTTTGATGCCAGGAAAGTGTACTAAATTTCTAAATGATGGTTTCTCTAGGACTTTAGCGTTTGCTTTCTTTTGATGGATGAGAGGTGAATTTAGAGTGCTACAAAGCAGGCCTGAGCTGTGCGCGCCTGCGCGCACTCTATTTTTAATTGAAGGGAATTTGATCAGAGTCTTTGTCCTTAGCACAGCCCCGCCCTCAGTGGTTTACTAGGCAGAGCGTGTGGACACATCTGGCTAGCCAGGAGACCTTTAATGGCCTTGTTTTCCCTCTGCGGAGACCTCAAGGCAAATTTTTAGGTTGTCAGGTTGGGGGAGTTTGTTTTCCCCCCAGCCCTCCCTTGGGTGATTACTGTGGGTTGAAGTGATGTGTCAGAGTTGGCAAGACTGCAGAGAGACCCTCGCTCGGCTTTTCCTGCCCTGGGATTGCATCGTGCCAGCCTCTGTTAGTGTCCCACTGCTGTTGGCTTTTCAGAGGCTTATGTCTTCCTTAAAGAGAAATCCGGGCCTGTGGAAAGCAGGAGCAGGAAGTGTAGTAGCAAAGGGTTCTGTTAACAGGAGGAGAGGAGGCAATTTGCATAACCATGGGGAAGAACAGCTTATCTCTCATAAAATTTAGACAGCGTAAGAATTTGTCCAATAAACTGCCCATTGATCATCACTGGAAGCATTAGCTTTGTGTCTGTCTGCCTTCCTGTCTCGCCCTTTCCCCCTCCAGCTGTCCCGGCTTGCATTTCCTTTTTCGAATTACTCAGATGCATTATTGGCTGGAGGCCCGTATTGGTTAGCAGCGATCGGATTTTCTTTCCGTCCCACCAAAGCACGGGCCTTCCCATTTTAAGAATTCAGCATACTTGGCTGTAAAGCTACACTTTCCCCCAAAAGTGCCTCCTGCATTCGTGCAAATGAATTCGCGGACTCGGGAGGCCCGCAGGCATTGGACGTGGGAGCTTTCTGTATTTCCCAGCCATGGGTGCTTGGAGCCCTCCCGGTCCTCTGCAGCTCGCCGGGGTCTGGCAGCGACGCACGTGGTGACCTCTCCTGCCAGCCCCCTTTTTGGAAAGTCAGGAAGAGATTTCAGATAATTCATTAATTGAAGGAGAGAAGGAATTAATTAAGGTAAGGAGTGAAGGTAATTATGGGGATGAGTTCAGGACAATTCCCTGAGGACTTTGAATCAGCAAAGGAAGAGGGCTTCTCAGGTCATTGTGGCTTTACCACTGAACACTTGGCCTTTTGAGTGCCCCCATGGATTTGCTCGTTCACCAAAGAAATGGAGTGAAAAGGGATGGCTTACTGCCTCGCATTCCTTTTTTAAGCCTTTCCCCTTGGCCCATCCACCTGATCTCTACCCACCATTTAAGGCTAGGCGTCTGGTATTCCGAATGTACCAGTACTTGTGAGGGCTGAGTGCGTGGAGGCGGTCGGTAAATAGGAAGCACGCGACAAGCCATCTTCATTCTGTCCCAGGCTTCACACTGACCTCCTGCGTCACCTGGGCCAAACAGAAGCTTCCAGCTCAAGGGGAGCATTGTATACCAGGACCAGGGGCTGCCTTGGGCCCTCCCCCGCCCGCTGAGACTAACGGTATTCTGCTATGCCTTACAATAAACAGCGGGTGGGGACAGATTGATTGGCCTTGTCAGGCCAGATAAATAGTTCATTGTACTGAGCTTAAAAGCTACATTTTTTTCCCACCCAAAATCAATGAAAAAACAGTGTTTTCCCTCTGAAACAAGGATCAGAGGCTAAATCTGTGGGATGATTCTGCTTACTTGTAAACACTTCCGTCCAACTCAGTTTTAGTCTCATGGGTTATGATGAACGACCCGAGTCTCCCACTCGCGTTTGTTTGCGTGCAGCTTTATCCCTAGAAACCTTCCGGATGTTTTGGCTTTTAGTGTTGTTATGGCTGCTGGGGAGGACAGTTGCTTTCAGGATTTATTAAGAGCCTGTTTTAATTTGCTAACGTGGGATCTTCCTTAGAGTATATGAGTCCACCTTGTGGTACAGCCTTGGGCCCTGGGAGAATTTAATAGAATTAACCTTTGTTGGTTTCCTTCAACTTGATCAAAGATGAGATGCCTATTTTCTGTATTCGGGCCTTATAATGTGATACAGGCTTGGAATTGGTTTAATAAAGAAACATTGAAGTCTATTTCTGAGTCTGAAATCGAACCACTTCACTGGGTCCTGAACTTGAGATAGACCTAGCTGAAGAAGTTTATCCAGTTGTGTCCAGCTGTTTTTTTTTTTTTTTTTTCATTTTGTGACATACCTCACTTTGCAGCTAGGCAAAAAGATTGTAGTCCCTCCCAGTGTGGGATAACCTCACCCTTCCCAGGCACCTGCATGAAGTCAGAAGATACCTCAGATTTGAAACAAGCTGTTTATAGACTAAACGGAAGGCTGGAACTGCGGAAACATTAGTTTGAGGACTGATTAGTTTGAGTTTTCAGCCTTAACCTTTGCAAATGACTACAGAATTGATTTAGGAATAGTGGCATGACTTCATGGGCTTTTCATTTGAGAAAAGTATGTGACAGAGAGAGAGAGAGAGAGAGCGCAGATCCAGATCCAGATCCTATCCTCCCAGCTGGCCTGGTAGCCATCAGCTGCGTTTTCCAGCCATTGGAACTTTAGGGTTTTAACTCTGGTCACAGTGAAGGAGCTTCCTGTTTGAAACAAACCTTTCCTGAGGGATGAGAAATCATTTTTCATTTGAATTTGTAGCATGGATGTTAGATATCCTAAAGTTATCCAAGACTCCAAAATATTGATGAATTGCCATCCGAAAATGTGAAAACTTTCCTTGGAAATGTCATTCTCATGAACTGGACAGAAAAGAATTAGCTGTTTTATTCTGTGAATGATTTATTCTTTTGTGTCTTCTCTCATTAAAACCATATAGGAGAATGATAGACATGCCTGAATTGGAACGTTGATATATTCAGGAATTTTTTGGAAAAATATTCAAACTCTGCACTTGGAAGCGAAATTGAATAAAATAGAATTTTAAATAGTTAATAGGAAAGACCATAATATATATTTGAAAGTGAGGAGTGGATTTTGCCCATTTTAATATTTAAATTAAATTAATATCATTTAATAATATTTTCTGGGCTGGTGCTGTGGTGTAGTTTATAGGGGCCAGCATCCCATATGGGCACCAATTTGAATCACAGCTGCTCCACTTTCTGGTCCAGCTCCCTGCTAATGTGCCTGGGAAAGCCGTAGAGGATGGCCCAAGTACTTGGGCCCTGCACCCACATGGGAGATCTGAAAGAAGCTCCTGGCTCCTGGCTGCAGCTCTGGCTATTGCAGCCATTTGGGGCACGAGCCAGCAGATAGATGACCTCTCTCTCTGTCTCTGCCTCTCCTTCTCTGTAACTCTGACTTTCAAATAAAGAAATAAACTTTTTTTTAAAAAAAGAAAAAAACAATGAAAAGAAATATTATTTTCTATTTGAGTTAGAATAAAAAATTACTTGATTTAGTCTTTAGGAAGATTTCCCAACTAACTTTATCCATGGGATTGGTTAAGTATCCAGGCTGTAATCGGTCCCTTACGGGCCTGCCTGAGGACTGGGTTCTATTTCAGGGCTCTAGTTTGCATGGTTAGCAGAACACTTGGGGAAGATGCGGCTCTGCCTCTCTCTGAACCCCTCCTGATGCCTGTAATTTAGGATGTTGCTCCTACTTCACTTGGTGGTGGAAACAAACGAACATTCAGTAGCACCTGTTTACTGCATGCCTGCTGCATGCCTGGTTCTGTTGATGCTGGGAAAGATGGAAAGACTAGGAAAACACCAGCCAGTCCTGCCTACAAGCCGTTCCGTCTGTTGTATCACATGGGGACTGTTGAAAAAGTGCTGTACATTTCTTTTTGATGGCAAAATTGGGGTATGTCTCTTATTTACTTCTGTCATTCTGAATGTGAAGCCACTCCGTGGGTTTCTGGTTGGCTTTATATGTCCTTGTTTCTATTTCCAGTTTATCATGAATTCAGTGTTTGGTAAGTCTCTTGTATTTTGCACACTTATTCTTTGCTATTATTATTATTATTATGCTCTCCTGATATAAAATGTGTTTTATAATCATCTTTTTAAGTCGCTCTGCTACTTTGGCATCTGCCTCCTGACAGATAAACTGCTTTTACCATCATAATTTAAGGTTTGTTATGCATTTGCATTTTACTGCCCTTTCCAGAGATTAATGTGGAAAGATCCTATGTTTCAAACGATGTTATTTGTAACAGGGCTAGCTCTGATGCTATGAGGTGAGATCTTCTGTCTAACATGAGAGTCCAGTGGAGCTGGGGAGGGGGGCTGCCCTCTGAATTGGTATGTGGGTATGACTTTGTGAACTTTGCTCTGTGGGTTCGTTTCTGGTGTGTTTGGTCCTTCGGGCTGGTTTGATTCAAAATGTTTCCTTAACAGAGGGACCAACGGCTGCTCTGCCCCTGGTGACACACTGTTGCTTTAAAAGATAGCATAGAAGTTCTTCGGAATTCATTGGTATACAGATGGGGGAGACACCCATGCCCTTCCCATTAATCTGGGCCTCATGTTTGCCACACGGAAGGGCTCTCCATTTTGGTCTGCTGCCTGTAGCTGTCAGAAGTTTACTGATTGTTGATCTTTATCCTGTTTGATCACTTCTCACTCCAGTCTCCAAACACCTGTGACCCAGTGCCCTCCCTCACTTGCCCCCTTTCCTGGAAAGGGAATCATTTTTGCCCAGCTTTCATTTTTTTTTTTTTTTAGCTTTTATGTGGCAACCTGGAGTAGTATTCCCAAGGTATCTGTTAGACTGGTTC